ACAACCATATCTGATCTGTGATTTTATAGTTTCTAAGACTCTTTCTATGGTTCCTAAGATTGATTTTATTAGTGAGCAATAATAAGTCAGTTTGTTGTCAATTACTATGTTTAGCTTTACTATTTTATACTTACCAATTTTCAGTACGGTTTAAATTATTTATATTATGAGATTTATCGAAAATCTCCTCACATATAATTTTGTATACGAGTATGTGAGGGGAGTGTTTTCGTTGTTTCTATTTTATTTACTTAGTTTTTTACAATTTACATACTAGATAATAAGATAATAAGCCAAATTCTCAAATCAATGTGATATTGTTGATAATTAGTAAGGGAAATACTACTAATAATTTATATTTTGTCCTGTTGATTTATAATAAACTGATTTCAAAACGATGTATATTTTGTTTTATTTTAAAAATCAAATTTCATAAAGTTTCTTATACATTTATAGTAGGTAAGTACCTAACTAAATTAAATTTGTTATAACGTTTTTGTAGCTGACTATACATTAAAACATCAAATTATATAGACGCGCGAGTTGACGACAAAAAAAGTAGGCAAAATCGAAAAGTGCCAACTCGCGCGCGCTCGCGAGATTCGCGCTCGCCAGTTGACGATTAAGTCCTCAGCTATGCACATAATCAACTTTTTTAGGTTGCCTAAGTATAACGAAACGTGATACCGTATAGAATATAATATTGATTGAACATGACATAAGATCCTGTCTTTCGTCCAACAAGGGCACCAAAATTCTTTGACTCTTAATCCTTTGGTTATTATAAAGATACAAATGTCAATAAACTTCCACAAAAAAGTTGTCATTTCATTCAAAATGTATTTATTTCTTACCATATTAAACGCCATGGGGGTCATCTGTGACCCACCGTAGCGGAGGATTTGCCTTCAACAGTTTTCTATTGGCTGTCAAAGCCTTAAAACATCTCTAGCACCTACTAGTATCAACGTAATATTGTAATGCATATTTCTATTTAAAAACAACTTTTATCTTTCCTTACTATCTGAGACACAGCAGTATACTGTCACTCAACATAGAAAACAATAAAATCCACGTGCTTCTCCACACAACAGTCAACAGGTGGCCCATCTAAACAGGTTTTAAAAATAAATCCATCTTCGCCTCCATTTGAAAATAAACTTGTACGAGTATAGAAAAAGCAATCATTTCGAGAGGGGTTGATTTATCATGGACGGTTGCGTCTGAACGTGATAGAATCACCAACCGTGAACTTGACCATTATCTGTTGTAGGTTAGGTAAGGTTTATCGTGGCTTGGTAACAGACGGTGCATACAATAAGTGCCCCGTCACAAGTTTTATTGTTTTTTAATATTTAGTAATCATGTAGTTGTTCGTTAACCCGTCGTGTGTCTAAACGTGGATCCACGCGAGACACAATGTATTTTGTATTGTGTCTCAAACAACTGTCCAAAAACATAGATTTTTAGAATTAGTATGGACCTTCTAAGTGTTTGGAACCTTAACATGACTCTGTAGACTGCCTAAATAGGCAATAGATAGAGATTGGCTTTCCAATTTGTGTCCCTTTTAGCGCTTTAAGAGAACTGCATTCAACAAAAATCTTAGGTTATCTTTCAAGAATGCCAATTGTAAAGCAACTTCACTATTAAAGTGGTATTACAGTAAGAAAGAGCTTATTAAAGTTGAGTGGCGTAGAGTATTTGGGCATCACTATCCTGAGTGGTAATCACGATTTGATTATAGTGTGTGTGTATATGTATAGCTGTGTATAACATCTGTTAACGCCAGTGGTAAATGAACGGTCCTTGCGCCGATGACTTTTATAAGTGCCTGCGTTGGTTTATGGTACAAGGAAGCGGGTGAAGCGGGTTAAGCGGGTTCACAATGTTAAATTATGGGTTTTTGTTTTAGCGGATCCATTACTGACAGTCTATGATTGATTCAAGAGAGTCCAGGAGAAGAAAACAAAATAATTTTCTACAAAAAGAAAAAACGATGAAAATTATTGTTTAGATTAACATCCATTGTTCAAAACGCGTGTCAGAACTTCATAAACGATGTAAAAATAACAAGTTTCTGTTAATTTACTCTGCGTTTAATTGTTTATAGCCATAGCTAATCTGTAACTGGAACAAATAACGTTTTTTTTTATCAACAAAGCTTCGTTGGTCAAGTGCGAGTGGTCACAAGCGTGACTAGCAAACATGAGGTATCGCGTTTTGTTTCAGTACAAAGCATGGTTATTGGATTTTTCTAGTTTTGATTCTCTTCTCTCACTCTACTACTTATTTCTGACGGGTAGAATAGAACTCCGTATCTGGCGAAATACTTGTGTTTTTATTTATCCTATTTTAGCATAGGACCTCTGCCTGTCCCTGGACTTTAAAAGAGACGGACCTATGAGTAGTCAGTTAGGAAATGTCAACCTCATCGTCCACTTATAAAATTGACGTGTAAAAGAGCTGCATTGTAGCCTATTTTCTGAAATAAATTCAGTTGTTTTAAGGAAAGTAACGCGTGATTATAGTCTCCGTAATGAGCAGTGTACTTTTATCTTCTTCAATTTATTGTTTTCCTAACATTTAATTAACGCTATAATACAAACTTAGACCACATACCAAAGCCTAGCCGTTGAGTCTGTGTGCGTATAGTTCATTGACCCTTTGCCTCTATTTGCGTTAGAAGGGAAATATCCAATACTTGGAGAAAGCTCCATAGTTCCATACACATGACCTTGTCTGCCCAGTACCATGAGTGCATGATCATTATACACAACATGCAAAAAACTTCGAATCGTGAAGGTATTGTTGGGTGTCGAAAATAGATTCTGTTGGTCAGATAAACTTACTTTATGCTTGTGGTACTTGTATTAGTTTATTCGGTGTTGTTTACTTATAAAAAAAATAAAAATGTAATAACTATACTATCAACATTGGAAATTTTACTTGCAAGGAATAACAAAGGCTATTTTTTATCCATATGTACAAGATTGGAATCTATCAATACATAGTATAAAACAAAGTCGCTTTCGCTGTATGTCCGTATGTATGCTTAGATCTTTAAAACTACGCAACGGATTTTGATGCGGTTTTTTTTAATAGATAGAGTGATTCTTAAGGAAGGTTTGTATGTATAATACATGCATATTGCACCCGTGCGAAGCCGGGGCGGGTCGCTAGTTAAAAATAAATCACGAATGAAGCTCCAGGCACACAGCTAGTTTCGTCAACAGATAATGAATTTGAATCTTCCTTAGCGCACTTAATTTTATTAGTATTTTAATATTTTATATTTCCTATTTTGTCTTTATCATCTATTTCTACACGCCAGTTTTGGATCGGATGGGCTTTTAATAACACTACTTCCATCGAAGTGATGGCTATAAAATTATGAATACAATTTCTCATTTTTTAAGATAACTACGAGGTACCTAGTTTGGATGCTTCCAAATGAGTGTAATTTCTACCAGTTATGTTTTTCTGTCTCGAAATTTGTTTTCTCTCGTGTAGCATAGACCTTTTAGAACTTATTTCTTTTTTATAATTTGGATTTGGTCCGGGTTTAATGGTATCCTGATGTCTTATGTAATCTCTGTACCTTAATAGAGACTTGACACGCGATACTGTACTAAAATTAAATTACCCCATATACAAATTCAGGTCATGGATTCTTTGTGCAAACTTTATCGTTGTATAAGTTCAATAGTTGCAAGAAAATCTGTATGCACACACGCCGCACACTCTTCAAAACTGTATTAGGAAGATAGACACTTACGCCCGAATGCTGAAAGGCTACACAATTTTAAGTCGTGCTTAAATATCGTGCCATCTCTGTGATTTTACAAAGAATTTGTAGTGTCAAAACTACACTTAAGCGCTTAATATTATGGTTAAGAATAAGCATTCTATCTTCCAAAACAATTCTTAAACTGTCAATTTTCTAATTTTCCTTAAGAGTAGTGAGTCTTACAGCAAATATTAATATATTTCAGTTTCTCTAACCTCGATGTGGGTAGCGCAATCCGTGAAAGTGTGTTAAATATTACGCAAGTCGTCTCAAACACTAAAAGGATATTCAAATGTCTGTGTACACAATAGTCTAGAGGCTAGGACATGTTGCCGGTAGCGGCACTAGACACTGCCTAACAGATCGTGAATGAAGTGAGTGAAGTGTCCATGAGCTCGTTTCCATTTGTGTGTGTTGACTTTCCCACGAAGGGATGGTAAAGGGTGGAAGAAGGGTTGTGATTGTGATAGCTATTGTTGTTTGATTAATAAAATAGTAATTCCTTGTATGATACATGAATTGTTGCTTCGGATTTGGGTGCGATGTGATGTGTATGTATAATTTGTGTGTGTAACGCTGTAGACGCGCCCACGACACACAAGAAAATTCTAGTTAAATGTCACGAATTACAAAGATATAGGAAGTGCAATCATGGCCTTAGGAAACGTACATCAGAGTAATATGCCAATAGTCATACTTCGTTTTATCTCTTATGGATGTCATTATAATGGTGCTTGTGTTTTGTTACAGGTAGACCATGAGTCAGAAAGTGTCCCGCAAAACGGCGGTCAGTGAAGAAGTAGAAAAGGTATTTAGCATACACATTTTTACCACCCACCCATAATTAAATGCATCCTGGTTAATTTTTTGTTAATTGTAGCAAAACATCTTATACTTAGTTAATTCTTTTAAAACTAATAACTTTTACTTTAATTTACAGAGAAACAGTCCGGTAAAAGAGATGAAAAAGAAAATGGCGGCGAACGCAGAAAAAGAGAAGCAAGCTGCAGAGAAGGCAACAGAAAAACAAACAGAGAAACCGGTAGAAAAGCAAGCAGAGAAGGAGAAGCCTGCTGAAAGTAAAGACAAACATGAGAAGAATGAGAAGCCAGAGAAGAGTGCTGAGAAACAAACTAAAGAAGAACAGAAAAAACCCGAACCTCAGCCAGAAAAGACCAAGGAAGCTAGCAAAGATGATAAGGATAAGAATGGAAAGGTTAGTTCTAAACCGGTGGATACTGTAATATAAGATGTATTGAGTTACATGTGTACATAAATACATGAATTTTTCCTTGGGTGTAGTTGGAAAAGTTTCATACTCATTCATCTTTTATCATATGTCGGTGATGAGTACTTCTATCTCTTCATCTTATTGGATATACATTTCTTCTGCTGCTTCCAAATCTTCTAGTATTAGTGCAAATGTGTAATATACCAAGCTTTAAATAAAATATTTCAGCCAGAGAAATCGGAAGCGAAAAAGTCAGAGACGTCAAAACAGAACGGAAAACAGAATGGGCGCGATCGCGTGCACAACGGAGTGTCTGACGTCACGCTCGGTACCAACGGCACTGATGACGTATTAAACGGAACGGTGAGTGCGGACTCTGAAGACGATGACGTCATGCTCGTCATCGATGACAACGACCAGGACGACTTGTTCCCGGAGCTGACGTATGAAGAGACGTCTGACGGAGACTGTTTCGAACTGCCCACACCTGAGAGTGGGCCCAGCAGAAGCCTCACGCGCCGATCACAGGTACCTTCGTGTACCTGTTGTGCTTTTTTCCATTTTGTTCCAATTCTGTTGTTGTAATTTTATTTTTTCGTTGGTGCAGGTCCTTAATTTACTAATTTGTTTCTGACGATCATTATGACAGTTCCGTCAGAATATTGAGTGTTTTGTTTTAGATTTTGCAGTTTTTTTTTTCGGTTCTGTGGTTTTCATTAAATTCAATGTCTCACTGCATACTAGACTCAGTTCATTGAATCGTCTCCATTCATAATTATACTTCAATATACATTCATTAATTCGTACCGACACTTGCATGAATTACTCGCACACTGCGCAGTGGAATGCTTAATGTGAATTAATTACTCAAAGTAAACTACACTTACAAGTGTAAACAATAGGATACAATTTTGCATTTACCTACATGAGTATGCACGTGAAATTAGACTTAGGAGTCTAGTTCATAAGATATATTATTGCATGCAAGTATTGCAGAGAGACAACGGTTTCATTTGTGTGTGTGTTCATCCTAACGAACTAATAGCGTTGTTATGGTAAAGGTGAAATCGACGCGGACGCCCGAGACGCCGCGCCCAGCGTCAGACAAACAAACAGACAAGGATGCCGACGATGTAAGTCGCGGTATTATGACACACACGGATTATAATATACATGGAGTACCAAAATCAGTCAAAAATGTATGTAAAACAGTGTTAGAAAGTTCTTTTGAAGTCTACAAGGTTTTATTTCGCGTTTAATTTGGAAACTGCGTTGGTTTAGAATTCAGGAATGTTCTTTTAATGGCATTGTCGCTCCATTTATAAACTAATCCGTGTTGTCTTATCTTGTAAGGTCGTTTTGTGAACGTGGAAAATGATAGTTTAATTGGTGTCTAATATTTTCAATATGAATGGAGATAAGTTAGACATAACTCATAATATAAGAAAATAATAATTTACTACATGTTAAACCAATCTTTTTTTTAAATGCAATGCAAAATATAACACCTAAATCCTAATTTGAAATATTATCAATTTCCACATTGACAAAGCAGTGTTATGCACATATTTGCACAGCTAACTTGCACGGCACATGTTAAAACAGTTTGCACATATTTGTACTACTAACACTACTGACCCAATTACACTGTATTGTGTGATATGATAATTTTATGTATTATATTGGTAATGAGATGTAGGTAGAATTACGGTTAAGTTTTTTTTAATCTCCCCTTTTTAATTATTTTAAATAAGTGATTATTTATTTTTCTATTTTTTATGATTCATTAATTCTATAATTACTATAAATAATGTTATTTAAATTCATAATAACAAATACCTATGTGTAAATAATCTTCTACAGAATATGCATGAAAATCTTATCACAATCTGTACAGCTGTTCTAAACATTGACACAATACTACAGACTGACAACACTTTAGAAACAAAATTAATACAATATCTATCAGTAAAAATTAAATAACTTATGAATTAGAATAACCAAAATATAAACAAAAATATCATTCTGTATTAAATCATTTCAGCCAAAAGATAAAGTGTTGAAGCTCAAAGAAGATGCGACAGTGCTTACAGACAGGAAGCTGCGGTCCTCAAACTCTCCAAAGCCACAAGAAGGAAAGAAAGACTCAAAGAAGGATAAACTTGAGTCTCCCACTAAGGGGGAAGGGTTACCGAAGGTAGATGAGAAAGAAGAAGATGCAGCGAAAGTGGAGAAAGGGAAAGAAGGTGAAGTTGACGTTGAAGTTACGCTCGAAGTGCCTGGGAATGAGGGTAAGTGGACGATTTGAAGATATCAAGTTTATTAATTATTATGTTTTCGCTTTACTAACGTAAGTAACTGTTTGATGCTCATATTTATGAACAGTGTTCCTCGTAACAGCGCGACAGTCGCTGCGTCGCGTGTCGTCATTTGTCTTAATTTAGTATGTTTACGAAAGTTCTAATATAAGCATTCCAGGTTCATGTTTTAGTAAGTTTTTAGTGTCAAGTGGCTTTTTTTGTGAGAATAAGATGTCTTTTAGTATTGTGATCTTTCATTGCCTTCCTTTAAGACCAGTTATATGTGTTAGCGAATGGCACTAATGAAGATTTGGAAAACCGAGAAACGTTACTAGGCCTTTACGTTTTTGCCAGCAGTGCCAGCTAAAAGCAGTTAAAAAACATTAATAAATATTTTTACACACATACATGAAAAAACAGCAGTATAAAAACTCTGGAGCACCCTTGTCAGTAATTCTTTGCCAGGAACCCCGTATTCAGTAGAAAAACAGACATGAATAGTAAAATATTACTTCATAGTGTATGTGGGATGGACGCGGTAACGTTATGTGTAGTGTGACCTGTACTTGCAGAGGAGGAGCCTCGCAAGACGGACACCAACTTCTCCAAGTCGCGCGTCAAGGTATCTCCATACAGACGCAGCATGCGCATCGCAGACCAGACCAATACTTCGCTGCAGGCCAATTATACAGGTAACTACTGCTAATATGAAGTATGAGTTTTGATGCTGTTTAAAGTATTATGAAAACTGCAACGGAAAATGTTCGTTAAATATTCAAATATCAGTACTAAAATTATTTTCCAATTCCAACATTATTATTACACACATACTGTACAGCCATTACCAACCACATTACATAGACAGAGTAAATCAAAAAAACAAAATTTTTGATTTGCCCTGACTATAGTGTTTACAAATGTCTCAATTGTTATTTTTTTCTGAAATGTGGAAAATGTGATGAACTTTCAATAGTCTAACTTTCATGTTATTTAGAATATTTGCAACTTATAATTTATAGCAAATCCGTCTTGGTACTCACTAGATGGCGCTAATGATACGTAATGGTTGTTAACAGTTAAGTGAAAAATAAAATCATAGTCTCGATGTTATCAGACAAACAATTCTATTTTGACGTTTTAAAAGATTAATCGTAAAACTACATTGATTTCATTGGTCAAAAGACCTCAATCGTTTCTGGTGACATAATAGTCAGTTGTGATAAACTATTGCTTTCTGTTCATATATCACAAAATAATACAATAACAATACAAACAATGACATTGGACTCAGGTATGTTATAAAAACTGCTGCTAACCGCCGAGGAACGGCTAGCAGCAACCAGTTTTCAGTGACCTAACCGAGACCTCCAAACTGCCTGCCAAGTTTGAGGGTATAAGAAACCCTATCTTAAGAGGAAGGTGTACTGTTCGTAATCAACAGCCTCTTCTTACTTATGGAGGCTATTTGGAGATCACAGTTTAAAAGTTTCAGGTTATCAAAGAGCGCTGTTACCTGGTCTCTCAAGTGTAAAGTCCTCGAGTCCTTTAATATATTCTTACGACACCTTCGGGAACGTCTTACATTTGTTTATAATATTTGCTGTTATCACACGCTTTATGATGATGATGGGTTTTATACCAACGATTTTTATTATTCCAGGCAACAACACAACAATGGAGATGGACATATCAGAGTCCTCAGTCCTAGAAGAAGCTCCGCTCGACGACAGTTCATACCTCCGTGGACTGCGCAGTATCCGCGGTCGGTCCTCGTACAAGCCGCTCAAGGAGATCACGCTCAGACATCTCACTAGCAAGCGGACTACCACTACTACTACATCTGGTGTGTATACTGGTTTTTTGTAAAAACTAAATACATTTTTAATTATATCCATCTAATCTGTTACAAACCTAAATTATATTTTTCTGCTATTTCACTTAATTTTACAAGTTTGTATTTATTTGATTCATTGATAAGACCTATTGAATTACCTTATTTGTTTAGATAGAACTTAGATAATATTTCATCGAAACGTGTTGTTTCTATATAGATTTAAAGTAGATGCCAACTAAAAATGGCGGTGACCAATGCATGGCTAAAAATTTCGGGAAGGTAGATCTTACAATCATAAGATAAAGGAGCAAAAAAGGAATAAGATGTTTTCTTTTATTTTCGAGGTGCACAGACCTAAGATCTTTTAATATCAAAAAATGGAAGCTGCCAAGTTAAACAAAGATTTATAAATTCTTATATGCTATAAAAATAATGAGAAAATAACAATATCAACTACTTGGTCCTCCCAGTGACATCCCCAGCCCCGTCCACGGAGTCCCACAGTCGTCCAACGGGTACAGTCGTGGGCCGCAAGCGTAAGCCCGACACGAACGAGCCCGAGCTGGCCGTGGAGGCGACGGAGAGCGCGCCCAGCAAGCGCATGCGCGTACTGGAGCGACTCGCCGAGCCATTCCGCCGGGTCGCCGCCGCCGCCGCGCTGCCTACTGTCGCCAGGAGAAACGCCGAGGTAACATAGCACTGTAACCATAGTATTCTAGTTCAAAATATCTTAGTTCGTAGGTACTCAGACCACAAAGTCACAAGATCCTTTTTAATACTTGGTATTATTCTTAGAGCACCACACTCGGCTCTGTCGACTAACAAAATGAAACAATTATGTGTTCTTGTCGGCTACGAATAGATTTTTGTTTCGGTTAGATTTCTATCTTTAGAAATCTTTAAGTCAACTGGAAATACACTACACCAACTTATCGTATAATTTTATTCCCCAACAGATCGTGGGCATCAACACAGACTTACCGCTGACGGCCCCCGTGGCGTCGACGGAGACGTTTGACCCGGAGTCACTGAAGCCGGCACCGACCGGTCCGCCGCCACTCGTGCCATCCTCCGAACCAGTCGCCGTCCCACTCGTACACGACGAGAAAGATAACAAGAGGTGTGTCATCATGTAAACTACAAATATTGGGAAGTATCACGCAAATGTCTCCGTCAACAAACGAGCTAAAAAGAGCTCTACCCCGCTAAATAAACGTCAAAACCCAATGACGTTGACATGTGTCAAATTTGACGTCTGTCAAACATTGATAAGATCAATTCTGCCGTTCATTGTAAACTCGGTTGCCATCAAGGAAAAATGAAATACATTGACGTTTGTGTCATTTGTCTAGCGAGACTGAAGATATTTGCACCTGTTCCGCAGTTAGCGTTGTAAAGTACTGTAGTTACTGGAAGAACTAGCTCGGTCTAGACGGTCTGGTTATCAGATATTAGGTAAAAGATATTTTCGTGGCGGACGCAATTTTTAGATACGTTTTTGATGTAAGAGTTGAAGGCAGAACGGTGTGTGAGGTTATGAAGTGACGGCGACCATTAATGTAAAATTATCATCAAAAAAAATGTGAGATCACTCCTTAAATTCGCTAAAAGGATAGGTAAAAAGGTACACATCTTAAAAGTAAATCATTACCACTTAAGCAACTCTAGTTTTGCAGGCGTCTAGACATCACGGTTAGTGCTTTCTATCAGACTGTAGGCTTGCTTGCTATTTCAGTGGTATAAAATATACTATTGCTTTTGTCATGACTAGAACGAACTTGGGTAACGACGTTTGTTAGTCTTTATCATCACTGTAACTATGCGTTTGAGGCCCAAGTCACTTATTACATCTCTTAAACCACTGAACCTATTTGATTGAAATTCGGTACAATGATAGTTTGAGACTCAGGAAAGGACATAGGTAGCAAAACCTCTCGGGAACGGGCACTATGCGCGTAAAACGCCTGTGAGATTGTTCTTTTTTTAAACAATAACTTAAATACACAATAAATATAACTTAGGTAGGCACTGAATCGATTCTGATGACGTTTGCATCAGCCATAGAACAATATACCTTGGAAAAGACGAATTCAAAAACCCAAATTTTGCCAAAAGTCATTATTCCACGCGCACGAAGTGTATTCCATTAATGAATTATTTTAAAAAAAGATCTCGATTACCTGTCACTTCATAATCTCACACAAATAGTGTCGTCTCGAAATATCCGACGTTTGATAAATATCCGACGTCGTCGTCCGAATGTAAGTATTGTATGTGAAGTGTGTTTTGAACTTAATATCATTTCTTAAATTTAACAATATACCGCCGTACTTGAGTCTACAATGGTTACGTAACTCAGTCCTTATCTGTTGTTGTAAAGGAATAGTTTAAGTTACCATTAAACTACTCTGAGTATGACGGTGTATTGTCAGGAGGTGTATTCACTAATTAATTTACCATTTAAGAACTACAATCGTCTGTGGATGTTAAAAATTAAAATGTATTGTCATATCAGATGGACGTGAGGGCAAGGAAAACGTCGAGAGGAAACCTTGCCTTATTCATTAAAAATTATAAGTTTGAAATCGCTAACCCGCCTTGAGTAAGCGCGGTGATTATTGCTCATTCCTTCTCCGTGTGAGAAGAGGCCTTTGACATTCGGCTGATGATAATTACGTGTGACGTCTATAGAATTGTGGCGATTGACAAAACAATAATATTTGCAAGTTAAAAACACACTTCACAATGAAAACAAATTAGAAATACATAAAATGTAATATACATAGTAAATAGATATATTTGATTAGTTGTAAAAGACAAGTGAAGGCAATGTTTGTACATAATATTATTATGTATCGCGGTTTTACTTGCGAAATTATAATATTTTATCTTTTTATCTATTGACTTGAAAATATTGGATATGTTACGGACTACTAGTAATTAATTAAGTGCCAGATATATTTTCTTTTTGTATTAATTTCAAAATGAAATCAATTTTGTGGATTTATTCAAGTTTGGTTGTGAATGAATCTGCAAGATTCGTTTTATTTTTGTGTAATAGTATTGTATTGTCATTTAATTGTGTAATAATGTGTGCAAGGCATCAAATTAATGTTATATGGAAATATTATGTTAGATTATAGTCCGTAACATGTCCGAACATGTTAGCTTAGTACTTAGGTAATGAAACTCGGTTAGTACACGGTTTCACGGATTTTATCATTTAATATTGATCATTTACTATAAGGCTACCCAAAGAATGAACAATTATTATGTTCCCCACGGCATATTTGTGCATTTTCTAATAAAATTCAATCTACAATATACGGGATTTTTATTTTAAAATTGTTATTAAATTACTAACATTAATCGTCCTTTTTGTTTCTATACAAATGATAAAGAAAACATTAATTATGTTATGTTATCTATCATCATATCGTATTACAATATCATTCAATATATCACTCTCATGACAATAGGAATTAGACCACCGAATGATTGCCATACATTCATAAAATTTAATATTGTGTTCAATTCTATAATAATTTTAAACACAAATAATAATTCATATTTATGGTTCATGCTTTATTCACGTGAGCCCCTAGTGTGGCTTGAAATTGGTCAAGTTACCTCGTCAATTTACGTGAGTAAACCGGTAACCATAATTGAAATGTCTAACAAACTATAAACCCGATTTTGTATAAATATGATATTAAATTCTTTACAGAACTGCACAACAGATTTTCTTAATAGACTGTCTTTTATTTTCCTTATGTCGAATATCAACGACTCTTCAAACTCCAGTTATTTGATAGAACATTAACCTGAACGCTTAGTATAAACTTGTTTTACGTTAAACGATGTCCAAACGTTACCGCGTTCGGCGCGGTCTGATTGGCCTGCTCTAATGAACCACCCAATCCGCGACGAACGCGGTCTCGTTTCGATTATTTATAAAATTTAAAACAATCTGGTACTAGGCCCTTTAATATTTTGAAATGACGTGAAATGTGGCATATACACAACTGGGCAGCAAATATTAATATATTTTTATAACAAAAATCATACAATGAGTTGTTTGTATGCAAATAAATGCGCTGAAGTAATGTTTTACTTATTATTTACTTCTCTCAAGTTCAAGTTAGCCCAATAGGACTAAAAACGACACTAGCGCCAATCAATAAAACGCCTTGATAATAATTTCTTGTTCCCAACAAATGGTTAGTTTAAAAACAGTTCTTATCTTAAGAAAATAGCGTTTAAATTTAAATGCGTTTTATCATGTTTATTGTTTACAACTTAGTTAAGTATTAGTTTAGTTGAATTATATGAAATACATTATAAAAGTGGAGAATTTTTGTTAAATAAATCATTGCAATCGATTTTGTGTTTTATTTTCATTCGTTTTAAGTTGAAAGTGTAAATGTAATAATGAAGAAGCGTCTAGCTTCAATATACGTAACGTTAACAATTTATTTACTCGTTGGCCGAGTGATCGCAAGTGCAACTGCAGGGCAAGCGGTCTCGGGTTCGATTCACGGGTCTGGCAAAGTGTTACTGGGTTTTAAAATAAAAATCTCACTAGTAGCACGGAGTCTGGAAATGTGCCCGGTATATGGCAATAAGCTCACCCCCTATTACATGGGACTCATAACATAAATAGTGGATGTTACTTCTTCGTGCACCTCTGCCTACCCCTTCGGGGATAAAAGGCGTGATGTTATTTGTTTATTGCTATTCCTATGACGTGCTATAATTTCGAAAGTTTTCGTAAGGTATGGTTTTTCTTTACAAGACATGGAATGTCATCAACTCCCTTAAGGTTTTTATAATAACTATCGTGAGACATACTAAATTAACTAAAAATCGCGGGTTACTCGCTTGAAGAGTAAGCTGCGCGACATCGCCGCGACCGCACACGGCGCTCATAAGGAAGAGCCCCTCTGTGGCTCGAAACTAGTAGTTTTTCTTAGTACTTTCACGAGAGTAACCCGCGATTTTTAGTCGACTCTCTTATGGATTTGTATGTTGCACTGCTAAAATAAAATACAAATACAACGAAACAAACAAAAACACAAAGCACCAGTTTAATGGGGACAGTTTTATGAAAAATGTGAACTGCTTATGTATATTCTGTTCAACGTTATTTACAAAGAGCAAGCAGATGTTGAAAACTCATTACACAACTCGTCCACTGCACCACTGCCTGCACTAGCTTGCACAACTATAAGTCTATAGTTTTCCTCTTCATATTATAAGTGGATCATTTTATTTGTCGATACCTACTGGTATTTGGTGAATAGATACTAATGCCTTTGCGTTGCGTTTCACCGTGTATGTGAGACTAGCTTTTACCCGCGGCTTCGCTCGCATCACAAAAGGATAAAAAGTAGCCTATGTGACATATACCAATACATACAGTGCCATCTATACCAATACTTTTGTTTTCCCTCGGGAATATCAAATTTTTTCGGGATAAAAAGTGCCCTATTATTTAATCCGGACTTCTAACTTTACGTCTGCAATATTCAAAGCAATCGGTTTAGTAGTTACGGCGTGGAAGCGGAACAAACAAACAAACTCACTTTCCGATTTATAATATTAGTAAGGATTAACCGAGGCCTAGTATACGCCTCCCTCCTATATCTCCCCTAATCCCCCTATCCTTAAATTCCTTACCCCCAAAAGGCACTATTCCGTCCTGGTGTTACGGGTGTCCACAGGAGGCGCCTTGCTATTCCAAAATTCCATGCTCATTAAAATGGCAGTCGTGTGCAGCTAATTCCATTCAAAAGTTCATCGGTTTTCTCGTTTGATGGCCTATCTATATACTATGTATAGAAATAAAATAACAGCCCTTCATTTCGCGAAACAAAAATAACATTGTGATGTAGGTATCTACTTTACTTATCTACTTTTAATATAATGTAGGTAATATAATGAGAAGTGTGGCAATAATGGGCCTGGAAAGTCTTGTTGATCCTTTCGAGATTCGATACATACTTAAATAAACCTTTCTTACATGTGATTAGGCAGAAACTAAAAAGCATTTCCTACTCTATTCTACTACTACTACTACATAGATGTAGTATCTAAGTAGTAGTTATTTGACATTGATAGTGTTTTATTTTTCTTTGAAAAACCGTTGCCCCACTCACTCTAGAATTTTCTCCTGTGTCGTGGGTGCGTTTACAAACATACAAGTTCACATACACAGGACACCCAGACCCGGAACAACAATCTGTGTATCGAGCCCGCTACAAATTGCGCGGCAGCCAGTTGCCCAATGCCCAGCCACCGTACCAACCGTGCAGTCCAAATATTTTTTGGAGGTGGAAAATTATCGAATGACTTCTCTCTCGCCCTGGATGAGGCGAGTGAAAGAGAATGTCAGACTATAACTAAAAACTACCGCGTTCCAATACTCCTGCTTCGAGGCGGTGCTCGATAACACCTGGGCGTTTCTTCGCATCCCCGGTCGGCATCAATGTAAGTTAGTTAGCGATTGTTGGTTGTAAGAAATTATTAAATTATTTTATTGGTACCTAGGTTGTATCCTGGTCATTCATAATTCATATACATACTCTGCTGATGAAGGTGAAATTCAGTAATTATAGATAAGCAACAAATGTTGCAGGTACTCTACAATTACAATATTTTGTATCGCAACAATGTTGAGGCGAGGCCTAAATAATTACAAGAAGCGGGTTCGATTCCCGCATCGCGATAAAGTATTCGTGTCACTACTGTTTTGTTTTTTTTTTCAGAATATTGCGGTACTTTAGTAATAATCTCATTTACATGTACGTAAGCAAGATAGAAGATAGAGGTATTGTATCGATAGTCGGGTGGTATGAAGTACCTACACAAGTTCTGGGTTCGATGAGCGAGTCACAAAAAAGTAACTTGTAAACAACATTTAATGTTATTAATCACAGTAATCACTGTTCTGCGCTATATCCAAATCACGAAACACTACTCAGCAGCTGGTCTTCTAGCTACAAACCTTCGAAAACATCATCTAACCACCCATCCATAAACTGACCTCGGCATCCGCAACTTGACATTTAACCGCTGCCGTTTGTCAGCAGTAGCTTGACTACAAGCTAATTCTTACAACTGTGATGATTACATAAAAATTATTTTAACGTGACATCATTGTACATAGTAATGATGACTCAAAAACGAACAAATAATTTTTTAACATTGGATTACCGAATACAAAATAATGATGAAATGAAATCCGGATTAAAATAACCTGTTTAGGGTGAGGCAAGAGGTTTGTGGGTTTAACCGTTAGCGGCCGGTTTTAAAAATATGTCAGTAGGAATAACTTAAGGTGTCTCCCAGTAAAGAACTGGATAGGTGGGATTATAGGGATTGGAATGTTTAAGTAAAAATCTTCTTAAACCAATTTCTATAAAGAACGTTTAGGAACTGAAAAAATACATAAACTACGCACAGATTTGAATAAAAATGTCCCTATCGTAATTTACCTGGTCTAATAACAAATACCACGCTAACTCGTATCAACTTACATGGCACCAATTTTAAAACAATAACAATAGGTATCATTTTATTTGTCTAACTAAAAGAATGGGACATGAAAGTGAAACCTCGCACTCATCTGTCATAAAAAAAAATAAAAAATACTAAACTTAACGTTTTTCCCTGTATTTATTATTATGAAAGTTTCAGTTATTTCAACAGGTTCATCGGAGCATGGGTACAATGACGTCACATGGTTAGAGTCACTCATGCTGAAATAATGTTACTAAAAATAGACAGAGGTAGCAACCGGGTTACTATGGGGTCTCATAC